AGGAAGAGGAAGACCTCCACTCCGTTGGAAGGACCAAGTGGAGAAGGACCTGGCTTCACTTGGAATATCTAATTGGCGCCACGTAGCGAAAAGAAGTAAGCGGTGTCTACGCTAATCAAGAAGAAGAATTTTATGATATTTCATATATTGGAAGTGAAGTTATTACGTTTTAAGTGTCAGTATATTTGTGTTATCGGTGTGAAAATGATCTTCGAACAAAGAGCCAACATTAATTTTTGTTTTAAAATTGGTTAAATTTTTACCGAAAAGTTTCAATTGATGAAACAAGTGTATGGTGATGATTTCTTGACCCGTACCAGAGTATACGACTGGTTTAAACGTTTTCAAATGGTCGTGAGGACATAAATGACGATCAACATGTGGGCCCATCAAAATCCGTGATCACCAAAAATTCCATCGAAATCAATTCATCAAAAATCAGCCGAAATAATCATTAAAATTCCTGGAAATGGAATTGCACATCTTCAAAGCATCGATTTATTTCGACCGAACATTTGGGTTTACGAAAGGTGTGTGCACGATTTTTTCCGCACAAACTGACTGACGACCAAAAATTGCAAAGAATCCAACATTCGAAGGAGGATTATTTGACCAAAAATCACATTTTAACCATTAACCACTCCCCTTATTCACCTGATAAGGCACCGTGCGACTTCTTCTTTTCGGAAAAGTGCATTTGCCCATGAAAGACGACGTAAAGGCCATTCAAAAGGCTTGCACCGGCACACTGACGGCCATACCGGCCAACGAGCTAAACCACTCGTTCGACATGCTTTTGGACCGTGCAAAAAGCTGTTTTGAAACAGAAGGAGACTATTTTGAATACAATAAATTGATTTTACCAAAAAAACCAATTGTTCTATTTTTTTTTAAGTCCTGTTTACTTTGGAAAGCACATTGTATATTTTGAACATGATGAAAATGAACATAATGAAGTAGAACACATACTTTTGAATACTTTCAGAAACAATGAAAATATTTCTTTTGTAAATTGTACAAACTTTACCAAAGACATGGATGATGAATATGAACTAAAGAGACAAAAATCGTTTTGCCATAAAATCAAAGTAGGACATTCAAGCATTATACCAACTTACGAGAGTGGTGTTCAGAAAAATATGAGGAACACTCCAAATGATACTGTTTGCAAATTATGTTTAACTCTTTATTTTTATAATACATATTATAATAACAGTCGATTGTAGTGAGAATTAATGTCCTTCCGGGAATAGATTTCAATGCAACAACAATTGGAGCTCGACTATGTAACCCCGATTGAAGCAGGTACTGCTATTGGTGTACATACGCAAAGCCTTGGTCCCAACCAATGAATATAATATTTAGAAAATATGAATATTTTGCTGTGCTTACTCCTTATGCAACAGTCGCTAGAAGAAAAGGAATATTTATGAGATTTAAAGAACGTACAAATTATTATCGCAAATTGTTACCTCCCGTCATGGTTTCCAGCAGAGCTCTCAGTGTATCGTGATTTCCATGTAAAACACCCATGTGCTCCTTGTGTTGTCTCTCCAAAATCTCTTTCAGCTGCGCATGGTGATTTTCAATGAGACTGCTCGCTTCTTCCACACAGCTTTGGTTTGTGCGCTGTTTGGGTTGCTGTTTGTTTGGTACAACCTCAAGCACCTGACCCATTGCAACCTCTTCAAGTGCCTCCACTTCGAAGATGTCCAAACTGTCCGCGTTTGCCTAGAATTCCGAACGGATCACTAAATAGCTTAGTTTTTAGTTTTGTAATATGTTACTTACGTCCAACCCAAGGTTGGCAGTAGCATCACCCTCATCCTCAATGGTAACATCGACCATTTCAGCAGTTGTCTGCAATATACACCAATTTTATTATCACTTATAATCATAACTTTAAATTTTGACAGACGTTACTCACCGACAAACCAATTTCGGTAGTGAGCCCATCACCGTCCACCATGTCGCTGGAAAAAAACTCCAGAATTTCACGGTCCATGGCATCCAACGGTTTTGGACCGTCCTGTAACGGCAGGTTTCCAGTTCGTCTGGCGAACGCTCTGTGGGCATTGTGCAGCTTCTTGAGTGTCGATTTCCAGTCTATCCAACACTAAAAAACCAACACACATATGTAAATTGTAATTCTATACACAAAAATATTTTAGTTTTACCTTTTTCCACTGATTAGGGGACTTGTGGGACCCTCCCAATGCATTTAATTCAGCAGCAACGGCAGCCCAAACCTGTTCGTGCTCCTTCCTCGCGTTTGGTTTCATAAATTGGCCCCTTCCAAAGCTGCGGTGCTGCTGCATTAAGTGCAGTAATCGCCTTTTCTGGCCATTCGTAACACGCCCCGACGTACTTCTCTGTAAAGAAAATGCATCAGATCTCTTTTAACTACTCATATATAATATATTAACAAAAATATACTGACATTTGCTTTAAATTCAAACTAATTCCGTTTTGAATTTAACGAAAAATTTTTTTGTCATCACCTCAAATGGAAGTGACAAAACCAATCGACAGTATTTCATTCAATTTGGTTACAGAAGCACATTCAATAGAGCATTCCTACTGAAATGGAATGGAACATATCAGCTGACTATCGATTGAATTGAAACACATTGAGTGAGAGTGACGTCAAATTGAAAATTTGAGTCGAGAACATCGATCGAAATGGGTTACAGAAACGCACTACAGAAATTGTTCAATTTATGATTTTTAGCTTTTGCCATCGTCGCGAAAAGACGCTTGTTGGCAAAGTCATGCTCGRGGAGATGTTATGGTGTTTGTTTTTATGAATGAATCAAGTTTGCCTGTTGAAAGTCGCTTGCGTTCATGAATGMAAATATTGTTGTTGTGTACTTTTCAACAAATTTGTCTGCCATATTGACTTGTAACGCTGCTGATGTTATTTCAAACGATTGTTGTTTTTGTAAAGCAATGATTGTAGTTTTTGCGGGTGACATATCTACATATGAATGCATATCTAATGTAATTGTGTATGCATTATTTGTGGGCCAATGTCATGCGAGCATATTTATGTACATATGAGCACATGTTATTATTGATAAGTGATAATATGATTTGAAATCGCGAAAGGGAACATAAACGCATATGGTCATGGAACATGTGATACATAGATAAGTGTTGAATGATAAAATGTGCGATTAATGTACATTTATCACTATTGTAGTATATTTAATTGTTTTTAATAATATTATGGTAGTTTGTTATATACATATGTAACTAGGAATATTGCTTTGAAAAGTAATTTAATTCAGACATATTCAATGTCACATGTATTCATTAATATGCCCAAAAACAATTCATACGAATACACATGTTTGCATATAAAAGTATAAAAATATAAGCAAAAGAGCGAACATACGTCTGTTAGAGCAATATATAGTTTTGAGCATAATTTTTATTTCAGCTCAGCTCTGTTAAAACGAAAATGTTAAAATTTCTYCTGCCGAGCTGGCAGTGGTGAAACTGGCTCATCTCGACCGAGTTAGCCAAAAATATTTTTACGATCTCCGCGCCGTGAACTTTCTTTATGATAGACGTTCTCTGAATATATATGTATGTAGGTTCCAGATACAGCTAAGCTGACGGCAACACAACTATAAAAATACATACAAGTATTTCCGGCACAATTCCGATTTCTTTAGCGACGCGATTTGAAGGTACCGTTGGAAAGAGAAAGTCGTCCTGATAAAAAAAACGCAAACGCGTATTTTACGAGATATTCGACCTTAAAATTGAAAAAATCGTAAAATTCGAACATTTCAAGAAGCTATTTCACCACATTAAGCACACTTTCTTCACATTTCTCACTTCAAATTAAATAAATTACACTATAAACTTTTGAATAAATCCACATTATACACTTTTAGCAGATTTCTAAAAAATCTTCATTTTAAAAATTACATTTTACACTTGTTTGAACCTCATTTGTTGACCAAAAATTACTTGTGCTAGTATGCAGCTCTAATAAAAGCTAGTACTAATTTTTAATACATTTTTCCAATAAAATGTGAATATGGCAAACCTGGTTTTGCGAAGAAACATGAAATCAACAATTGCTTCTTGACAGAAATTCAAAGTAATCGTTAAATTCATCTTAAATTAGTAAAATTCATTATTATGAAGTATATTTCTTTTTAAAATGTTGTATAAAAAGTTCTCTCACAGAAATATAAGTAAAACGACTGAATTCATGCGAGAATGAATAAAGCGAAATGGTTTGAAGAAAAATATACAAAGTAAAGAAGCATTCTCTGCGACACATATGCGTGATAATCTTGTATAATATGAACCATTTTTTCAGAAAAATGGTAAAAATGATAGAGTTTTTCAAAAAAAAAAAAAATAGGAAGATTAAAAAACAAAAAAAGCTTCCATAGCGCGATAGAGAATGACGTTAAAAATTTTCTCAACAAAATTGGAAAAATTATCATCAAAACTCTTACAGTTTTGAAATACGCCATTCTGAGAAAAACACGTTTAAAGATTGAAGTCGCTTCGTTCCCCTCTCTGTTCCCCTTCTACAAGAAGCGATATCGACTTACTAATTTAAAAGATTATACTATCTGATAATGCAATGGTTATGAGTTCACAATACTTATGAATCGTTGCTTAGGGTTCTCTGACAATTATGAATTCGAAATACTTGTAAGTATACGAATAAGCTCAATTTGAGCGGCAACGCTGTGAACCGAAGGCTAGAAAATCCATCACGAAAGTATTAAAAGTTTCTATTGTAAAACAATAATAACTATATTTATTGAAATAAAAAAACGAAATATTACCTGTCATCAAACCAACAGTCGTCGCACTCGGGACTTGGTTCTCACGTCACTGTTTACAGTCATAACTAACATAAGTCGTAGATAATTTCGTCTTTCTTCTAACCCATATAAATACCACCCACTGTTTAAATAAGTTAAGCATCCACCCCCTCTACCCTGTAAAACTGGCGCATCCTAATGCAGCAGCGCAATTCACCATAGCTGATTACTACAACCCAACTCTCCACACCTATACCACTAAACAAAAAGGATGGACAGGTAGGAAACATTAATTCGCACGTCAACAATTCGACTCTCCACACCTCTACCACTAAACAAAAAGGATGAACAGCAGGTAGGAAACATTAATTCGCACGTCAACAATTCGACCATCAACACATTCTACACTGCGCCGCGTCAACATATGTACGTTCCGATTATTCACCGATTCTGAGTGCTACGTTAATTCGAGTCACCAGAGTTACGTCAAGTCATCGATCCATCACTAACCACCGGGCTACTTTCCATAGCTAATCTAGTGCATATATTTATATTCG